TACGTCTGGGAAATACAATATTACAAAAACAAAATAATAACATTAAGAATCATACATAGGGTTAAGCGCCCCGGTTCTAAAGTGAATATAAAGGAATGTGTATAATATCTTATTCTGGTAATAATATAATATTACAAAAACAAAATCATAACATTAAGAATCATACATAGGGTTAGGCGCCCCGATTCTAAAGTGAATATAAAGGAATGTGTATAATATCTTATTCTGGTAATAATATAATATTACAAAAGCAAAATCATAACATTAAGAATCATACATAGGGTTAGGCGCCCCGGTTCTAAAGTGAATACAAAGGAATGTGTATAATATCTTATTTTGGTAATTTTTTAACCAAATAAACTACATACATTTATATGCTTATCTCTCTTAACGTTATTTTGTAGGAATTTTAAGTATAGATCAAATCATCTCAGAAGACAAGGCATTAATGCCTAATACAGATAGTTCCACGAAAAGCTATATAATAAATGCACATCTGTATTATAACTAAGTAAAATAATTCTAATCTACGATTTTGATTGTCTGATTAATTAAAAAAAAAGAAATGGTGAATTAGGTAAAATAACGAAACAAAAAATTCCACCAGAAAGGATGGCAACATAACTTAAATTGTATATATTTGTTAATATGCGGCCTGGCATAGCCTGGCGGTTAGGTTTTTCGACTCTCAATTTGTGGGTCGCGGTATCAAAGCCTGTTAGCCGTGGGGGGAGGGGGAGGTTTTATTATGTCATAATCAGTCCCACTATTCGTTGGTAAAGAATATTCCAAGAGTTGGCGGTGAGTGGTGTTGAATAGTTGCCTTCTTTCTGGTATATCACTTCAAAATTATGAACAACTAGCGGAGATGGCCATCGAGTAGCTTTGTGCAAAATTCAATAAACAAACAAATGAACAGTTTCTTAATATATTCATGTTTAGCCCGTCCTATTAAATCTATTTTGGAACTGTCTCACCTTTCAAGTATTTCAAACACTCTAATTATCCACCAATTTGTTAGTGAAAAATAAATAAATAATTTTAAATCATGCAACACAGCTTATATCATTTCCAAATAATGACTGAAATCTTGAACAGTATATGCTTTAATGGACATAAATAAGATAGCGTTGCCATTATAAAAAAACAGAAGGTTCAAACTCTTCGAAAAGTCTTTAAACAACTCTATTCAATTACGTACCAGCTGCCCAGCGTCGGCTGACAATACGAAGAATTAAATTGTGGCGGAATGTTACAAGTTCTTCAAATACCTATAGAATGATAGATTTCTTTTTTGTGAGTGTAAAACACTTAAATACACCATTTCGACTTTTATTAATGTTCATAATTTTCTTTTCATTTTGATGCAAGTGTTTTCTTACAGTTGCTAGACATCACATTTTCCACTCTAGAGTATGCCTTCTCCACAGTCTGTCTACGAGTCACTTCGTCAAGGGTTTTAAATGATAATATCAAGGCCAATAAAATAGCACTTAAAGCATAACAGAAGACTTTGTCTCTCACAAATATTTGGTGCCCATAGAATTTGCTGCAAGTTTCTTTTTTTGCTTTTTGCCACTTTTAAACGTGACCCTTCCCACTTTATGTGGAACGTTTTTGGAAACTAAGGGAAACATATCTTCAGTATTTAGTTTAAATCGTAGGATGACGTTGAAGGTATGATTACTGAGCGCTTGTATAAAGGTCACGTGACAAGCTTCATTTCGCTCCCTGCCTTTTTAATATGTTCGAATTACAAAGTTTGTTTACTGAAGAATAACTATTAAGTCTCTAAATTGGCACAGAGATCTCATTGTTTACAACAGAGATCTCAATGTTTACAACAGAGATATATAAAATCTGTTGGAACTAATGGAATAAATGCGTTTTTTGCACTTAGAGATAAGTATTTTCAACCTATTGGCACTTTATGGAACACACGAGCTAAACGGCTTTTGCCAGAGACCCCTAAGTTTCAGACATAGCTATCCTTAGTGTCAAACTATTCAGCAGATGGAGGGAACTATGCACTATACCCGTCGTCTATACGGCTATTTTTAACAGAATTATACTCTTAACAGCTACAACGCCTAAGAGTTGAAAGTGCAGAGTATGTGTTCCATGATGAAAAAAAGTTCAAACCTTGGAACTTCTGATTCGCAACCAGGCAAACTATTATGAAATTTTGTTCAAATACATAGTAACTTGTGTATAAAAATGTGTTTATGAATTGATCTGATGCATGCCCATATATATAAAATATAGTCCATCTTGATTCATGTACCTACAGTTCTCTCTAGATGTCTCAGTTATAATCTACTGGAGTTGGTGTCGAACTCGACTGTATGCGCATGTCATCTCATAAGTAACGAATCTTTAATGGGTGTTATAACTCCATGTTCACTTCTTAACTTTTCAGTTTGAAACACTGGCTTAACTTTACAACCTTTTTTTTCTTCTTTGTGATGAGAAACGTACTGATGTAGTCTTTCTGTATACTTACTTTACTCTAGATATAAGAAATATTATAATGATTTATTGATATCATTACGTTTGTATGGTGTAATATTTATTACACGTTTTCGTAATATGAATCAACTAATATATTTCCAAAGATACTTGATAGCATAAAACTAATATACTCAGATGAAACGTGCTTGTAAAGATGTTAAAATATACTAGTATATAAAAGCCTACATACACAAATACATTTTAACATAAGGCTAAACTTGTAATACCCTCTGTTTAATCAAACATACTGTATTATAATCTTTGGAAATATCCCACATTTTAAACGAATTTATAAGCTGACTAGCCGTTTTGCGTCCAACTTTAACACAGATTATGTATATCGGATTTTTCCCGATTTTTTTATTTCTGGTGAACAGCTTTGCATATAAAAACTAATTCAGAGTATCTCTAAGATATGAGCTCGACGTCAACATTATTTTAAAGCAAGTGTGGACGTTGATACTTTTAAGCCCAAATGTGTTTAGCTCTGTGGTAAATAAATGGTTTATCCTTTAATAATTCTCGTCGTGTGTTTGTGAAGTTGCTTGTCCGGAACTCCTCCTACAGTATTAGAGTTAATAAGATCAAACTAAGCAGATTTTGTGTGTGTGTGTCTTTACCGAGGAGGGGTTAAAACGTTAAAACATGTCCGGAAGATTATCCATGCACGGTGAGAGTCTTGGGTTTTCAGGGACACTGATCCAGAATCTAGCACCGGATTCTGTATTCCTGTCCCCCTCCAGATCCTACAGACAGCATGTTTAGAACGATTGTCATGCCACCGCTCACAAGCTAGAGAGACCAAAAGTGACACACGTTTTTGTGCCGAGTGCCCTAACGTAGTTTGTTTTAAGGTACGGACCCCTTGAGATAGCTATAAAAATAATTGAGGATAATGGAGGAGATTGATCGGTACATTGGAGCCTCTATAAATCATGAGAGGAGCTTTTGAACCCCAGCTAAGCGAGGGAATTTTATGTTAGTATTTGGAAACTGTTATAACAAAATTACTTTATGGGTGGGCTTCATTAATAACTTATTTTGAATAACATTAATAATTTTCATCACTTCTTTAATTATTCATTAAATGTATACTGATATATCTCAGTATGCTTAAAATTTAGCGTCAAATACTAATCTTTAAACGTGTATAGGCTCCCTAATAACGATAAATCCAATTATCTCTCTCTCTGTACCTCTGTGTGTACATTTATGTCCAAGTTCTATTTTAGCTTAAGCTAAGAAAAATGAAATGAATATTACGACTTTTTTCCATTTGTATGAGACTATAATGCTTAATAAAAACGGCAAAAATAGTCACTGTTAAAGTTCACTAGCGCTATTTAAAGTTCTAGATACTTACTTTTTAATAAATTATTTTCTTTGCTTCATTTCTAGAATTAGTCTCAACATATTTCCTTCCTCTATTAGAAGTGAAAGATGCTTTATTAATATTAAAAATACTTGCTAATAATGCGTCCCAATGGACTTTAACATTTTTCTTAGTGTCTTTTACAAGAAATGAGAATATTACTATTGAGTTTATACTGTGCTAAGTAAAATATAAGCATTAACTTATTTTGAAACGGGCATTTACTTTATACCTCTATAAAAAAAAACTGTGGAGTTATCCTTTCCTCAATGAAAGGATATTAACCTCACTAAAAAAAAAGATAAAAACGAGAAGCTATGAAAATATTGCCACATCTGGTTGTGAGGACATGGAGTACAAGTATTCCCTCCCTTTCACATCACACAAAGAGAGTTTGGTTTACCCAACAGTTCCTGCTGGTCTTTCATGTCTATTTTTAGAGATCAGAAGTAATATCAACATTTAGGTTTGCGCAATTCTAAAGTCTGTGTCATACATGTGTATTTTTTATCTGAAATTGATGTTTTATAGTTTAGTTTTTGTTCTTGAAATATTGAATGTATACGTACAGAGTTTCGCATGACAACGTTAAGATACAAAAGCTCCTTCATCAAGCCTAGGGTTAAAAGAAGTCTGGGTTTTCAAAATGACAACAGGGATTTTTTATTTTTTATACATATAGTTACTTAAAATAGATTTCATTACAGTTGTATTTTGATTCAGATCTATCGAAATAAGAAAGCAATAATCTCTTTGAAAGTTAACATCCAGAAATTCTTGTCAGAAATAAGCTTACTATATATCTCAGAAATGAAAGAATTAAAAATGACATATCCACTATTGAAAGTAATTTAGTATGACAAACTGAATAGAAATACACAATGTCATAAAACAATACAAAGGAAAACTAAAACCTATAATAATTCAAAGTACACTGAATTATTATTTGGTTACCCTTGCTGTCAACGATATTTTCAATGTACACTTGAAGTTCATATATATATTCTAAAGTAAACTAAATGTAGACAGCCAATGATCATTTTATTTGAAATACCTGGCTATCAACCTATAATTAGAAGGAATCATGTAATTCGTTTTAACTGTTCAACTTGCTTACCTGCGGACAGTCTTTGATGTAGTGTCCTTTCTTGAAACACAGATGACACAGGTAGTTAGGCGGCGGTTTCTTGGTTGGTTTTCTTTCAAATCCAAGAGCCAGATCAGAAAAGTGGTCGGTAAGGTCAGCTAATGCACCTGGACTGAGGCTGCTGTTGTAACCATTACTGGAGAAACTATTGTTATGAAAGCCACTGTAGTTGTTACCGGATTGAAGAAACGTCGTAGACAGAGGAGGTAAGTTGAATTTCGCCTGGAATTAGCATGTGATACGTTATTACTTTTAAAGGCTAAACATTTAAATTTTTTTATACAAGGAAGTGTATCTCGATAGCAAAGTATCTATATGAAGATTAAATATTTTAACTATCACTAACTTGGTAATAAAACCACAAATTAGCTGTATAATGCCTATTGAAAGAATTCATAACAAAAGGGCATTTCGAGACTACTTTTTTTTAAATACGGTTCACGAGAAATAATGATTAAGTTACACTTATACGTATCATTTCTAAAATGTCACTTTGCTTCAAAACTTTTGCAGCAATGTAGCATATGCATATACTCATTGCGATACACATCAAAGTACTGATATATTTAATCGTAGCGCTTGATAACTGTGTGGAGTATATAGGTAAACCTAGAACTTAGCAAAAAGGTTTCAAAGGTTTTCATGATGAAAAGCTACAGCATTAATGAACTTTAATTTAACAATCGTTTACTTTCTACGATATAAATAAAAATCCTGTCCACACAAAAAAACAAAGGAGCAGAAATGTCTTCCATTTGCAAATCCAAGGACATTATGATTAAGAAAATGGAGCAGAAATGTCTTCCAGTTGCAAATCCATGAACAGTAGGACTAAGAAAATGGAGCAGAAATGTCTTCCAGTTGCAAATCCATGGACAGTAGGATTAAGAAAATGTTGAAGCCACTGGCCAGCCCAAAAATTAGTCACTTGGATAAGAGTAATATTTAAGTAATAAAACGGAACATTCAATGTGAAACTCGATATTGTTAACTTATGTAACATTCATGTGCTGAATGTCTATGTCATGTAGTACTTATTACATGTTATAGAAGTATAGAATAAAAGTTTAGTAGCACTGATATTTTTCATTCTGTGTCCTTAGCACAATATAAAGGTATGTCACATCTAACATATATGTCCTGTACTACCTACTCTCTGTCTTTTATTATAAAAGAAAACTGGATCCCTTTCTTTTTTATCACACTGTTCTTTATTTAGAAAACTTATTTAACCCAGCTTCGCAACATCATAAGCTACTCTTCGGTGTAAAAATTATAATAAATAGAAAAAACTAAACGCTTTTTTTATGTAATAGATTTAAGTTTAAATTGATATAAAATATATAAATTCTATATGTACATACAGATACAGTATGAGTTTTGGTTTCACAAATGCTAGGAGAAATCTTACTTACTGTTGTTTATATAATTTCAATCATTATTTCATACAGCTTCATGTCTTTTATCTTTGTTTATATTAGAAATATACAGTGTTGGAAATAATTATGCAAACATTGAATAAAGTGGATATAAAGTGCAAATATTATGAGATTGCTACTCTTCTTTTATACAAACATTACCTGCACGAGAGTACAGTAAGACAGTGATCCCAAGCTTATAGTAAATGTGCTAAAAAAAAGGCCAACGGAACACTTTCAACCATTGGCTTAGTCCTAAGATGAATATTATTAAGGCTGTTTGAGCCTATAATGAAACTTGGAAGAATAAACGACAACCAAACAACTTGGCTGAATTGTCGGGAGCAATGTACAGCATTTGGAACAATATTCCACAACTGTACGCTCATAAACTTATGGCAGCATAAAACATTCCTACATTCCATTATCATTCCCCTAAGAAGGTTGAAAAGATCCTTGCCCTTACTCATTAACTTGCAGACTGATTATGTTATTATTGCAACGTTGCATCTATAGAGCTCAGAATATCACTTGGCATAGCACATTGTCATTCTTTATTGTAAATAAAAAGAATGAAGTGTTCTCACAGAATTATAGGGAGGTGGGGTTCTTAATGTAGTAGCCAATCAATGCAGTTTGATTTCTGTATGATCTTGACCTTTAGGCACAGTTAGTATCCAAGTGTAATTTAACCAATCTTGTAGCCAAAATTGAAATATAAGAATTTTGACCTTATCATTTTCTCCCTGGGCTCATCTTTAATTCTCTTTTTTATACATAGTCATACGTCTAAAAACAAAGAAGAAACAAAATGGGGTTGAAACGAATTCTATGACCATTTTCTCTTGGTAGATATTCATAAAATTTTACTTGTTCAACAATATTCACTTTTAGTTGCACAGAGGGAGAATCTCATTAAACAATTATCAAAATCAACATTACTGCGCTCAGTTTTTGTACAAATGTTGCCATCAAAAGTATTTGGGCAATATATTAACAAAACTTCGTAAGTTTGCTACAATAAGTTTAAACCAAGTTTGAGATAATTGATGATTTTAAGGAATAAACTCGCTATCAGATTTCCACAACATCTGACGTGGGTGTTTGTTAGAAATCTAACGACTAAAAGAAAAATAATTAAAGTATAGTTATTTTCTTCAAACTGTCTTTAATAATTGTTGGGATTAACCTAATATCATTAATTCAACCTGAATGGCACCTTATGCGACATGTGGGCTAAAAAACCAGGTCAGAAACCCTGACTTCAGACACAGTCACACCTATTTTAGAGCTGCTGATCAGAGGAAGGACGACCACTCAGCAGCATCCGCCACTTACCCCGATTACTGTTAGATAAATGATGGGATTGACTGTCACTTTTACAACGCTCCCGTAGCCGAGAGTGTGGAGCGTGTTGAGTGATATAAATCATGGGCTCGAACTTCAAATTTGTACTCTGACACGCTAACCATTCAGCTACTCTCAGCCCAAATACAGAGGAAGTAAAGTTATCTGCCTTTAAAATAAAGTATACAATATATCTTACAGTGAACACACTAACATTTTAAAGGTGTATTGTTACTATCAAAACTCATAAAACGTTTACGCTTGAATAATAGAAATGTAATGAAGGTAATCCAAAGATCGAGGGTTTATTTTTAAAATCTGAAACTTGTATAGTTTCAAATAAAATGTAAGCAGCTAAATTAAATAGTCATAACTTAAATCTAGTTTACTGAACGTCAGACAGTTGTTATAATTGTTTGTTAGGTAAATTTAAGATATCTTGCCCCAAACTTTGAACTAAGTAAGCTAAGCTTGTTTTAAGGAACGAATAATTCATATTCAATTGCTTCAGAGAAGAAATATATTCATGTTTCTTCATTTGAAAAAGTCGAATCTTATAATTCTATGTGACTTCTTAATAATAATATTTTTTAACAGAAATGGAATTATACGAGATCATAATAAATCGCTGTAAGGCTTTCTTCAATTATTTGAAACCAGAACAATCCCCAATGGAAAATTCTGCCCCATCTGAGATATCAGGGTTAGTGTTTTAAAATATTTTAATTTCATCTCTGTACAATGTGACTTCCACAGACATGACAGTGTTGAATTTTTCTCACAAAAAACTCTCTGCCTATCTTCTGTTCCCAAATAAAAAATATTAGAAACTCGAGTTCCTGTAACGCTTTGTTTCACACTTAATTTATCACACTAAATTCAGCAACAAACAGCAATAATTTCTATTAAAAAATGTTTAATTTTTTCAAATTTTGCTACACAAAATGTGTTAAACACCAATAAAAATATTTCGTAACATAACAATTCACTAAGTGTTATGTTTTTAATTTTATTAATGGTGTAAAGAAAGAGTCATGATCAGAATAACTCATAATTTTTTCTAGCATGTTGCAAGACAAAGTACAAACATTCAATTGGAAAACCTACAAGACTTATTGTGAGCAAATAATTATAATTATCTTAAACTTCAATATAAGAGGGAAAAATGACTTTTAGAAACGTTAGTTTTGGGTAAAACAAGGTAGAACCACAAAATTACTATGTTTAATGTACATACAAGTTAATTAATTATTTGTGGTTTTCATAGTATATCTTCTTAAGAACTAGTGAAGTATTTTTTGTTTTTATTACTCAAATTTGAAAACAGTTAGTGCATTGTTCCTTAGCTGAGAAAATACATTTTCAATAGAAACTCGAATGATATTTACCTAAAGCTAACTCCACACAGTAATTATAACTTATCTAAAACGAATTTAATGTTATGCTGCTATAATTCAGATTACGCTAGCTTGGATGACGTTTAATAGTTCCTCAAATGACTTCATTTAGAGTCATGCGTGCTAAGTGGACATTCAATGCTAATTTTACAAATTTTACAGGAAATTTTGACAGCAGAGGAATTAAGTAATAATCATTGTTATAGAGAGCACCAGAAAGTTATATATATATATATAATATAAATATATTTACAGATGGTTGAAGGGTATTGAATAAACCTTTACAAAGCATAGTATTCATAAAGATATTTTCATATCAGCGATTTAGAATTTCCAAGACGGGGATATTTCTTGTACTTTAATGACATTGAAAATATGGGTTAACTTGAGGATTCAGGACCATCCAAAAAAGAGACTTTCAACAAGTAGTATCACAGCCGTGGTAAACATATTGCACCGTCTTGTAACAGGTGAGAATCCATGAACACAAAGATAAGTGGCAAAAACTGTCCAGGTTCCCCTGGAAATAGTGCGCAACATAATCAAGAAGATTTCCATCTAGGAAAGCGACACAAGTAACATTCATACGTTGCTTCTACCATATATTCGTTCAACCGTTGCTTTCAAATACATTCAAATAAATTCGTTTAAATACATCAGATAGCTGGATAATGAATTGGGTATTCATGCCATTCCATACGAAAACATACTGGTCAACTGCTTAACGCAGTGCCTATGCATTTCTATGCAATCAGACTGTTTAAACGGTCGGTGGAAAATCGTCGTCCTCGTAGACTAGAAAGCTTATGAAAAGCCTAAAGGGAAGAGGAGTGTGATTTAGACATGACAGCCTTACGACAGAGCCTTTTGCAATGGAAACTGTGCTACAGGGCTATTGTCAAGATGAACCTCATCAGATAAAACATGATATGACGTGGCGACATGGACTGTAACGACGTGGTGAAGCACCAAAATCATGTTACTAACGTACTCAACCTCTGTATAAAACGAAACATCTTCTAAAATAAGGTGAATTTCAATAAAGTTTTCTATTTCGAGA